ACGTCGAAAATGGCTTGCAGGATAAGAAATTACAGGAGTGTAGATCTAATATAGCAGAAGGTATTTTAAAATTTAATTTTAAACCAATATTTTTATACCTCTATTCTTAAGTATGTTCGCACGCATATATGTGTTATTCTAAATTGAATTTGTTTATCTGTCGGAAAGGTATTACAATATTTATTTGTATTTTGTGCAGTAAAGTATAGGTGAAAGAAATTTAGGATATTTATGAAATTTTAACAAGAGTCATAAATTATACGTTATGTATGTGTGAAGACAAGAATAATCTTAGATAAATGAATTATTCATGTTTTCCGAAGAGAATACCTGTTTTGTTAAACTGCAGACCAGTATTTCCCTGGATACTCGAGTTATCGGTTATGTAACTGTGTAGTCATGTTTGCCCGGGTTTACCGTTATCTAAATGTGTCATTGACTGTAGACAGTTTGATATGGTATATTTATGCTTGTTGGTATTTGCATTAGATTTTCATGAAAGAACGAACGGACGAATAATTGATAAAAGCATATTTATTGTTTTAAGATTATAAAATCATAAAGTTGTGATAATCATGAAATTCGCTGTTTTTTTAGCAAAAGAAATGATGGCTTGACGACAGAAATAAAACTTGCGGATTCAGCTGAGTTGGTATGGAGAGTCGATCCGGAATATAAGGCGATCCTTTAGCGAGACGATAATACGCGGAAGCGAGGGCTTCTTAGAAGTACAAAGCAGAGAAATCAAAGAAAACTAAGTCAGCACGTAACTGGCCATACCGGAAACAGCAGCGTATGTTTACAGAGACCAGTCTCGGAAGTCAACAATTGGTAGGCCGTCAAGGGCGTAGACCTGGGCTTTGCTTTGCATGTGGCAAACCGGGGCATTGGCGAGGGGCGCCGGAATGCCCAGAAAGGAATACTTATGATAAGATAATTAATGATTTATTTACATGTGTAAACAGAGAAAATATTTACGATGGATGTTGTAAATGTGAAATATTTTGAAGAACATAAAATTATTCACAGTGATGATCTGTAGAGGAGAAAGAAGACACAGTTATTTCACCAGTATGTAGGTTAAGAAATTGTGTAAATAAATGAATATAGGCATCAGACAGTGCATATATTATTCAGGTTGTTGAAAAAGGTGATATGTTATCTTTGAGGGAAGTACGGTGGCACAAAGGTGACATGTGTGTTTTTTATTTATCTCGTGGCCACGACATAGTATATCGTGGCCACGAGTTACTAAGTCGTGGCCAAGAGATAGCTAAGTCGTGGCCACGAGATACAATGTCGTGGCCACGAGTTACTAAGTCGTGAGAAGGAGATAATTAAGTCTAAGCCACGAGATAATTAACCAATCAGAATACACTATATATATTATGAATTTTTTAAACTAAACAACTTACTTTTACATGCATCATTAATCCTTGAAAATACTGAATATATTCATTTTATACTTGTCTTTAGGATCATTTTACAAAGTCACCCTCAAAGGCCTATCAGACACTAATTTTGACTATAGGCCTTTGTTGGGACAATTTTGTGATCGAATTGGTCAGTTTGTACGTACTACGGCCTGTTAACCTTTTATACGATAATATGAGAAGGAATAAGTCCTGGTTTATTTTATTTGGTAGGGACATTGCCCATGGACAGTAAATAGTCTATATGGTAAAATCCTTGTCTGATGAATAATTTAGAAGGAATAAGGCATGGTTTAGATCATTGCACCTGATCAGTAGATGACATCTAATAATTTTGAGGTCATTGGGTCAAAAATCAGGGTCACAGTGACGCTAAATGTAAAATTACTGACCAGTCAATAAGTTGTATAAATGGCACTTTTACAGGCTGGTGAAGTAGGAGCATCCTTGTACTATAGCACATGTCTAGTTAATAAGGGAAATCCATATAAATGGTGTAATCTGATTGGTTATTTATCAAACGATAGCTAAGTCGTGGCCACGACTAAGTATCTCTTGGCCACGACATAGAATGTCGTGGCCACGACTTTGCTTGTTCGTGGCCCCGACTTGGTAACGACATAGTATCACGTGGCCAAGACTTAGCTATCTCTTGGCCACGACTTAGTAACTCATGGCCACGACATAGTATCACGTGGTCACGACTTAGTAACTCGTGGCCACGACATAGTATCTCGTTCGCACGAGATAAATAAAAACACACACATGTCACCTTTGTGCCACCGTAGGGAAGTACCGCCAAGCGTTGTACTTAAAAATAATAGGTCTGCGAGAGATAATATTAAGTTTGTAGAAGAAGAAATAGGGCGTCTTCTCAAAACGAAAGTAATATCTAGGTCTATGGTAAAACCGCACGTAGTAAATCCCTCAACTGTTGCATATAGCAAATCGGGAAAGCCTAGATTAGTACTTGATTGTAGACACATAAATTTGTTTTTGCATAAATTCAAAGTAAAATTTGAAGATATCAAGGTAGCAGATGAGAATCATCATATTGATATTTTTTCAGAGCGTCCCACATACTTAGGGATTTCATGGATAAGCGATTGTAAAACAAATTATGTTTTTTTCAATTCTTTAATACTTGGAATAAGTACTGCAGGACATATTATTACAAAAATGTTAAGAGTTGTTGTGTCATTTTTAAGAAGTAAAGGTCATCGAGTCATTATGTTCTTAGATGACGGAATTTGTGGACATGTCAATTATGACGAACTTAAAAGATCTAGTGCTTGTGTGAAAACGGCACTTTGTGATTTCTAGTCATTATGTTCTTAGATGACGGAATTTGTGGACATGTCAATTATGAAGTACTTAAAAGATCGAGTGTTTGTGTGAAAACTGCACTTGTAAATGGGAAATGTAATTGACAGCCGACAAATAGAGTAGTTTGGCTGTGCCATATTCTTGATATGTCTGAAATTTTTTTACACATAACAGGTTCTAAAATAGATAATTTTGAAAATCAGTAGATTTATTTCAAATCAAAATCGATAAATTTGTTATCATTTATGTGAAAACTTTAATATCAGTGGTAGAAAAAATTATTTCTCTCCTAAATGTTATAGGGAATAAAGTTAGAATAAGAAGTAGAGAAATGTATAAATGTATTATGTCTAGAGCAAGTTGGAATGCTCCAGTCAAGGTAAGTGAGTCAGCTATCGCAGAATTAAAATAATGGCGAGAAAATGTGAGGAACTTAAACCAAAAAGGGAAATATTTCAAAGATATGTCAGTTTGTAGAGTAAGTATATATGTCGATGCAGTTGCGGAAGTGGGTTCTTACATAATGAGCAATTTACTGAGAAAAAAGACAAAGAGCCTGATGAAATCTATTTTCAAGGTGAGATATCTATGATTCCTATATTGAATGTACATTCCGAATGTATATTGGATATATGTACAGATAAAGTTGTGTTCCCGGAAGTGAACCTTGTTTCCGAATACAAGTCGGAATTGAACATTAATGACAGTGGGCTCCAAGAAGTGAGCACAGACTCCAATTTTCTATCGGAAGTGTACACATGTAAAAGCAATCTCCCAGAAGTGAGTATTAATTTCGAAGATATATTGCACAAAGATAGTAGTCAAGTGCTCCCGGAAGTGAGCTTCGATACCGATTGTATATCGGAATGCTATGAAAGTAAAGACAAGCTTTCTCAAATGAGCTTAATTTTAAAATGTCTCCCGGAAGTGAGTCATGGCAGGTTAAAAGAATGTAGAAATAATTCTAAAGCCCCCCCCCCCCCTTCCCCAGAAGAGGGCAAGCTTCTCACAGGCGTTCCTGGTGTTGACAGGAATGATATGGTTAGCACTCTGGTTCAGAAAGTACGTTATATGCCTAAAAGAAATGGTAAACTGAGTAAAGCTTACAAATGCTTTACGCCAAATAAGCCAGGGAAGGTAGGAGTAATTGAGGAAACGGAATTTCAGCACAACACGCACAACCAATCATTGTTGCCATGTATTTGGTCACCATCATTCAAATTCAATATTTATAATGTTATAAGATTATGTTAAAGAACTGTTTTATAAGGAAACATTTACAAAGCTAGTGAAAAAATTTATTGAATGTATAGGTTTATTTCAAGTTTGTATATGTAGAACAGAACTTGTATTTTGATTAAGGAAAATATATTTATATGTATAAATTTGATATATATGTTAGCATGTCTGAGCACGGTCCGTTGTTCAATATTCCGAGGAATAGTCTGAGGAGGATCACTTTTGTGTTTCCTCCGTGCATGCCCACGGATTCTACGGCTCCTCTTACGTTTAGAAAAGATAAAATGGGTTTTACGCAGGCGGCCAGTATTCCTGAGACGAATATACAATCGAACCCGTTAAGTTAGTACAACATTTTCGATCGTGATATGCTTTATACATGTGTATTTCTCATTGTGATATATCATCCTGTTATAACGATCCCGTAATAAAATAACCTCGCTACAATGCACAGCATAGTTGTTTGTTTATTGAACGTTAGAGTCAGACTGGTATTTACGATCTTAAATAGGGAGTTTTAGTGCTAAATTAAACATTGATAATTGAGCTTGCCTAACATATTGTATAATGTGTCAGAAAAAAAGATTTTTTAGTCATTTTTAACGCCCCTTGCTTTAAATCCAGTGGTTTTAAAAAAAAATCCAAATTATGTGCTCAAATGTACACATTGACCTGGCCATTTGTGATCTTTTTCTTGGCCATACTTAATTACATGTACCTAATTATAATGGAAAGTTGCAAACATAAAGCACCGGCTAACAAATTCATCCCCTTTTTTTCAAATGTCACGCAGTTCATGTGATAACTCTGAAGACGACTTTCAGTTCTTACATTTCTCATTATTTTTTGTATCATCCTTTTCAAATGTTAAGTTAAATACTTGAATAATAATAAATGACAAAGACAAAAAAAGAATAAATGTGATGATCAATGTGTGTTGAAAGCACTCGATAAAAACACTCTCTTCAGGAATCATACACATAAACTATTTGATATTTTCAGCGGCGTTCTTCAAAATTCTCGAACTCGGAAAAAATCATATGGAAAGGGCTGACGGACAAGTATAGGATAGATGGATGAAAATAATTGGTTTTAAAACAGAAAGACAATATTACATAAGTATAGACATACTTGATGGTGCAAAATGTCTTAGATAATCATAGTTTGTATTATTCCATCTTTCTTTGCAATGTATGATAACTCTATTTTCATCAATGAAACTTTTTGCATATGTTTTAAATTTAGTTCATTGTGTCCAGCCAAAACATGCATAAATGTTTAAGTACCTTTCATCAAAATAAGTGTTATTTTGCCCTTTTTATTACATAGTACACTTATATTTTCATTTTCATAAACTATTTGATTAAAATTAATGATTAAATATTTGAAAGCCAAACGATAATGTGCATAATCTAAGGAATACTTTTTACGATATTTAAGTTTGAAATGCGTATTTCTTTTGCAGCTAATTTCAAATGTTTCGATACCTTAGCTTGTACAATCTTGCATATCAAATTAGAAACGTCAGATAGTGTCGGTTTGTTCTGCCTCATTCATTTCTTTTAAATAAGTCCGTCACCCATTCCAATCATATTGAATCTACTTTTGCTGTGTTAAAACATGCTTTTACAGATTGCATATCATTCCCATTCCATTAATATTATATAAACGACTATAATTTAAATATTTCACTTTATATGTAGCATGATAATAGCATCATTAAGCTGTATAATTATGTTGCTGCTTTTTAATCGTATGTATTTCTTTTTACTGAATAATAATGCAGTTCCATTTAAGTTAGTTGGCATGACGAAAATAGAAAGTTTTGTCCGACATGTGTGTACCATTTGTAGGTCTTTACCAATATTTTTTGTGCTTTTTTAAAGCATCCCCTTTCGGCCTTTTTCATCTTTTTATTGTGCATATAGACCCAAATATGAAAAAAGCGTGATTTTTAAATATATTTCTTAGCATATTTTATCATCTTGTGAAGATGTTTTCCATGTAAGTGCTGCACTTGATCTGTGTTAGAAATTTTAATTTTCTGTTTTTGATCAATAGAGCGGCTTTAAAATTAAATCTGATACATAAAAATATAAGCAAGACTTTTCAGTTTGATAAATGTTTTTCTTTAAAGTTAAACAACACAGTCGAAAAGTTTCCGATGCTTAAGTCGTTACACAAATTAATATTATTTTAAATATGAAATAGATATAAGAATTAATGCAAGTTTAATGCTTCAGCTAGTAAGTGGTGGCTACTGTAAAACATCAAAAATGCTTCTACATATACTACCCAGCTTTTGATAAACACCAAAAGTTTCTCACAATACTATAAAAAGTAAAGCAAATCATTTAGTTAACATAGTTTCATTAAAAATGTTTGGAGATTACCCTAAACTTAAAAGCATTCAACCCGCGTTTTATCTGGGTTTTTTTTAGTGACAGCAGATACACATTATTGTTTTTATACACTGATACTACAAATTCAAGATACCAATTGTAAGGCACATCCTTCAGGGGCATAGCGGAGGCAGATAAAGTAGACGACGCAATGCTCAGACAATCTAGGCCCATCATAGACCGTGAGCAATACCAATGCATCTTCGTAATGTTCTTTTTACACTTCTGATGTGAATTCTGTAGGGTGCATAGAAGGTTCCAAGAAAGATTTTGCGATTAAAAAGACCCTGTATATAAGAATTCCATTGATTCGTCGTCACCATCACGTCAGTTTAGAATAGGCGAGGGAGCACGGTAACTGGACCAGACAAAACGGGAAACATGTTATCTTCACGGATGAGACTAGACCTTACTGAAAGACGTGCAAGAGTCTACAGAAAATAAGCGGAAAGGCTTTTTTATAAACCAGAAATATTGCTGAGCACGGCCGTTATGGAGGTTGTTAGTTCTGGTGTGGGGATTCATCAGCTTGGACAGTCGGACTGACCTTATTGTGCTGAAAATTAGATGAACTGGTCAGCGATACATCGATGAGTTGTGTAGACTCTATGTTGGGGAAGTGGGCGATCAGTTCATTTTGATGGAGGATAATGCGCGTCCAAATCGGGACCGTGTTGTCCAGGACTTGACTACTTGCAGACAAACTGTATTGAGCGCCTTGACAAGCCAGCTCAATTACCCGACCTGAATCTACTGGACATGTTGAACGACTTGCAGGTACTGATATTTGCTTTTCAATTGCAGTTGCAAATAAAGCATCCATGAGATTGATGCCAAGTTGGTGCAAGCATTGGCAGCCATCCCCGCTTGGAGAGTCAGAAACCTCCTATGGCATGAGAATGCATTGTCAAGAAGTTGTCATTAGCAATCGGTCGCACAAACTCTACTTAGTCCATACTTGTTGGCATCAATAAGGCTCTGAAAACTTGTGAAGCAAGTTGCCTGTTCAAATATTTTCGAATATGTCGGAGTCTTTCTCTTCTCTTACACCTCATGCAAAATCAGTAAAATGTTAAATTAGTCGAATGTTAAATGAAATTAATCACATTAATTAAACATGGATATCTTAATAAAAAATCCTTTGTAGTGTGCTGCTGTCAGTTAAGTCCCGCATCCTATGTATAATGCATGCTCTGCCTCACTGATACTTATAGTTATTTCACAGTTGCCATAGGACTTCTATCTTCTTCACTTTTGCGGGTAAAGGATCGAACGTAGAGTCTTATTTGTGAGGATACGTCTTTTGCCGCTTTGATGGATATTTTGCATAACGGCGGTATCGGCTTGGTTTCTATGCCTCAGTTTATGTTTTTCGTCTTCATTTTGAATGTAAGTGTCAACTGTGAATTTTGGTAGCCTGTAAAAGTTTTCTTACAAACATTATTTCAGCAGGGGCTAACTCATTTGCTGAATCTGGTGTTTTTCTATAGGTCAGTAGAAATTTACTTAGTTTCGATTTGTAGTTCTTGTCTGACACAACTGCTGTTTTACTGCTTACTGAAGCGGCTGCTTCAATCGTTTTACTAAAGCATTGCCCATTGGATGTAGTGGTGTAATTTTACGATTAATAAATCTTTTATAAAATCCAATAAATCATGCTTGTTCTGCAAATTGTTTGAAAGCATAGCTATCAAAATGCGGGCCGTTATCTGTATGAGCAACAGAGACTATGCCGAACATGGAAAGTACAGCTTCTAGTGTTTGCTATGACCGGTTCGGTTTTCAAAGTCATAAGTCAAAAAACAACGGGATAGCGGTTGTAGTCATCAACTATTACCATGAAATGATGAGCGGCTGGGTTATAAATCTCACATTATCTTCTGCCACGCTCTGCGAAAGGCAATTATTAGTTGGGTGCCTGCTAATGTAATCAGATATCCACAAACTACCTGGACGGTATTTTCCTTCGAAGTTGCATGTGACTAATTTCAAGAAGCCATCGTTCTATTCCCGTCAAATCAGTTTCAATGCTTAATTGGCTTTTCTGATGTCTACACACAATCGGATCTCATTCGGCGCGTTCGGCTTTGGTGCGACTAGTAAGTTCGAAACCCATGGCGTTACTTCGTTCACATTCGGCGGTTGTATATTTTAAATCTGTTTCTATTTTTCGTGTATATTTTTACTGTTATCGGAAATGCTTGTTTCTGTCCGGGAGCGTTTTAATACCGTTGTGTGGTTACCTTTATTATACCAAATGAAAACTCTTGCTCTTGGTCGCTGTCGCCGTTTTGCTGTGTTCACTGTATTTTTCTAATTTGGCGTTGATATGCGTTTGATTTCTTCCGGCACACAAAATGGTTTTCTTTGTTGCAATTATATGCTTTAGCGAATGTTGGACGTTGTCTCTGGTGAGGAAAGGCGCCTGCACAATTTCTGCATTCCTTTTTTGTTCTTAATCAACTGTGATATATTACATCTCAAACCAGTTTTAGGCAACCATGCAAGCATGTCAGCCGACGGTACCGACCAGTGTTCGATCGACGAACAGCCGCCAACATATTCTTGTAAGGAACAGTAGACCACCAACAAAATTCGAATACTATTCTTGAATGGATTTCATTCAGTGATTAAATGCTCAAGTTTATACAGGTCATAATAATACCTAATAAACAAAAACAACAACAACAATAACAAAAAACGAATGATAATTTAATTGTTCGAGTTGACGTTGCAATTTAGTCTAGTCATTTTTAACATATCATACACGTACTAAAAGACATGAGGATGCAGACGGTCGTATTTGTGCAAGTCAATATTTCTAGAATGAAATACATTAATTGTCAGATGCACTGCCGGTGTGAAACACTTTATTTTATTTATTGACTTAGTTATTTGATTGTTTCATACATGATACTGTGATAAATGTTTAATGTCAATTACAGTTAAAGACGACAATTTCCAATATTTTGACACGTGAGAATATAAAAATTCAGTTGTCAAATCCTTACCTCTACGCGCTTAATATATTGTTACCATTTTCTCTTCCTTCGTTGTAAAGTATATTATTCATCTAAAATAAGGAGGAATGTAGTGAGTTGCTGTCAGTTATGATAAAATTGAGAAAGTTCAAAACGGCAAAATTGAAAATACTGCAGGCTCAGTTTGATTTAGCCTGTTCATTGACGGTACTGTAAAGTGCAAACTACCGCCCACACACCCTAGCACCGGCTTAAGCAGAATTCAACATTTAATCACGGTAATGGTAAAATTTTGAATTTAGAAACATCCGCAGATATCATGGAACCTTCAATGTGACATAGTAGTGCCATTCCACGAAAAGCGGCGAATTTCCCCCAAGTAAAAGAATTCATGTGCCCTAAACGAGTAAACAATGGGCGGAACTAAATAAAATGGAATTTTGAAAGGGGATCTGAGGTTATGAAGCCAGCATATCACAGATAAGAACATATACACACTAAAATATTTGGTACACAACTGTTGGTAGTATTAAGTGTTTATATTCAGTGCATGATCAACATCCATGAACACTTTGTTGTTTTTTGTGCTTCACTATGGGGTCATTAATGTTGTGTCGCACGTAGCTCAAAATGTGTTTGACCTATAGTCATGAAAATTTACAGATATGTTGGTCAGCATGTGAAGTTGTGCATATGGGGTTTTGATTGTGGATTTATTAGTATTTCTCTTGCCTTTGCATTAGTAAACATTTGCAATGTTCAACTGTTCAACTTGGGTCGTGTGTAGCTCATGGAACTTTACAGAAATGTCGGCTGGCATGTGAAGTTATGTACCTATTTGTTGGTCAGAATGTGTACTTATGCAGCCTCGTGTTTGCTTGTGGATTTATTCAGTGTTTGTAAAGTTCCCGTTTTTGACTTAGGAAAGATTTTTGTTGTCAACTTGTATCACGTGCAGCCCAAAACATAGTTGACCTATAATCATAAGATTGACAAAACAGTGGAGTGTGGGGACACCTATGGACACATTTCTAGGGTTTTTTGTTGTTGTTTTTTATATGCTACGATAGACTGTTTAAAAGAACTACTGATTACCAATATAATTGTTATAATCTTTATTTTAAAAAAATATATCAACGCCATGCAACTAACTTATAGTATTTACAGTAAATGCCACAATGAAATCATAAATTTTGTAAATGCAGGTACCGAACTTTCTTATTATTTATTTTTATTAAATATGAATGTACTTTATCAAGCTGTTCTTCCGCACATATTACCTATTAATATAATACAATGACAAAATAATAATGATTCTAGTTAAATTAGTCTAACAAGAATATAAAAATTTGCAGGTTTATCAGAATATACGCGTAGCTTCGTACGGGGTAAATCATAGGTCAATCTTTAAAAGCATATGCATTGAATGGAATATATATTTTTTATATATATACTGTATTACATTCCACGGTCAGTTTTCAAAAGCCTTGTAAACGGAAAATTTAATGTCAAATTCTTCTCAATGCAATAACATATTCGAATGTTTTAACAATTTTGATTCAGAATGGAGTCAAAGCACAAAATTAAAAACGCTGTAAAATATAGTCAATAGATGTATGTATTCTTCAGTCTTGAAATACTGTAGTACTAACACTTATTATCAGTTATTTCTTATTGATAATTTGTCGCTAGTTATCATGACAAACATTTAATATATCTGTTAATAGGTGTAAACGAATTAAAAATATAGTTCTTTCTTCGGTGGGGATAACAGAGTGTTAATGAGTTAATTTTAAGTAAGCACAATTAATTGAGCCATTTTTTTGGAAATTAGGCTATATTTTTACACAATTACGCGACAACTGATGTCTTTTGTAGATTTACTTATTTTCAATCATTTACAAAGTAGCTGCAAATATATGTAGTTTTATAAATTATCAAAGAAAACTGCTTTTTAAAAAATTATATATGTAAATTTTAATCATTGAATATTCCATTGTTATATTTGATACATGATTAAATTTGTGTTTATATAATTTCATTACTAAATAAATCTTTAAATTTCTATAATTTGTATGCGGTAGATGCTTATATAATTTCAAAGGATGATTCATTATAAGAGTTACTGAATTGTAACACGTTTATTTCCGATCCTTA